TAGCATGTAAATGAATGTAATGGATTCGACTGGAATTCGAACTCGGCTCTCCGATTTCTCAATCCGAGCCGCTATCCATTACTCCACACAGTCTGCAAATCAAAATGTACTGATTATAGAGCTGATTTTCGAGTTTGTTCATTTATTTACTGTACAGAAATAAGTTTTCAAAAATGTTACAAAGTGACCATAGATGTATCTGAAGCGGATTGCCACGAATCCATTACATGTGTGGAATGCCTGAAATGGCGGTCATGTACTTCTCACTTAACGACCAGCACGTTGGCTCGGAACCTGGTCGTTAAGTGAGAATTGACCGTATAAAACTGTCTGGCAGAGGGTTACAATTTTTTGAGCGCTTAACGCCATCAGGGACCGAAATTAGTGGGAATGGTAAAAGCCACATGCTGGGGAACCAAACATTTATGTCTGTATTTACTTAATTTGCTGGAGTTCTAAAACAAATTGGCCTTACCGCCTGAAATAATCACTCTATTCATTTCTTTTTTAGCTTATTACTATAAAAGCATTCAAGGTCACGACTATCTAAAATTATATAAGTTAATAGGGGGTCCAGTTTGTTATGTAAATTCATTTTAAATTGATCCCCTCTACAGAATATCCCAATACGATGAGATAAAATAACAAAATCCATGTTACAAATTACTTTTTTTTTTTTTACATTTTAATAAATCACGTATCAGCATATTTGTTTTGGCTTCCGTAAGAGAATCAGTTTACATTGCAAATTGGACTGCCTATAAATTTATAAAATTAAATCATTTTTTTTTGGGGGGGGGGGGGGGCGGGGGTTTCGTAACCTGGGATGCTTTATCTATAATAATAAAAAAAAAAAGATTATTTCTAGCCGCATAGCCATTGTACAAAGTCCACAATTAATTTAAAACCTTAATGAGTCAGTCAGTGTTTCTATTTGTCTATCAATCTTACCCATCCGATCAAACAGGAGGTTTCTCCTACATAGGGGGACGCATGTTCAAACCACACCGAAGAGCACATTTTCTTTATTAAATCTCTGAAATGTACAGGTCGGTAGATACAATTTAAACTGTTTTTTATATATAAAAACGGAGCGTCTACTCAAACATGGGTATCCACAAAATAATTTTGATTTATAGGAAGTAGTGTCGAATAATAAAACCATTATATATATATATATATATATATATATATATATATATATACACACACACAAGTTTACAATTTGCTATATTTATGGTGGAAGCTTAAACAGTATGAAAACATTTATAGATTCAGAAACAGTTCAATCAAGGTAAACTTCAGTTCCATTCTCATTTTATATATATATATATATATATATATATATAGAGAGAGAGAGAGAGAGAAGAAGTAGTAGTATATGTAGGAGAGACAAAATTATTGAAAAAAAAAAAAAGAGAGAAGAGAAAAAACGCGTTTCGTCATTTACTTTGAGATGCATACATACATACACACTTCTAATTTCGGCTGAGATTGTCCCATGCCCTTGGGAAAGGCATGAATTTATTTCTCCCTCTCTTCTCGCCAGATGTCCTGGTCTCTCTCATTATTCGCATTTCCTAGCGTCTCGTGTAGAGGAACGAAAGCACGAGCAGGCCACTTCCCCACACCCCAAAACGTTGTTATTGCCAATGACAGTATTGACAAGAAAACTATACAGACACATTCGAATTTCTGTATTGACCCCACCGCCTACCTTTCTTTTTCCCTGGAATTATTTATCGCTGCTTGCTAACAATAACAATAATACTTGGAGGTCAGACTATAAAAAATTTAAAGGGAAATTATTGTAAAAATGTAATATCACGAAATCAAGGGTTAAGCTAAGAATCAAATAAAGATATTCACTTTTGTGAATAAATATAACAGACTTAAAATGACTGTTAAAAGCTCCTTCTTAATCATTTAGGTCGAGACAAGGAAAAGCTAATGGCTCGACTAAGTCTTTAAAAAATCTCATTTGGGGATGTTAGTCGAGTCAAAAACATTTCAGCTTTCCTTGAGTACATCACCAACATTTGTATATACAAACAACAGAACGGTATAATTTTATTTGAAAGATCAGGTTATTTAAAATCTGACCAAAAATCAAAATTACATTTTAAAAATCCATGGCATGTTCTTGAATCGAAAGTCCTGCACAAATATATATATATATATATATATATATATATATATATATAAAGATGGCGATAAGATCCCCAAAATAGCTATCACTTTTATTTGTTTTTTTTTTATGGTCATTAAAACTAAAAAGGCATATTTTCAGGGTATTGTCGTTTTTAGCTTTTCAAACGTTTTTTTTCTTCCGTTTTGTTAGATAAAGCATGGATTTTATTAAACTGATTGGTCCAATCGTGAAAATAGGGAAAAATTTGGGGGCGGAAGTAATTTTTATTTTTGTAGAATGGCATTCTTTTGTAACTTCCTTCGGCCGCGTCACTAATCAGAATCGAAAAATATTGATTTTTTTTATCAATTTAGGAGGGGGTCCTGTCTATAATAACGATACAGCGTCAAATCGATCCCTCACTTTTAAAAACTCATATTTTACGAGTGGACCAATATATTTAAGTAGTGCTTCTATTGCTTACAGTATTTCTTTTTCGTTTCATTTCTGGTGCAGGTAAGTTTGACCTGATTTTTCCCCTTCTGAGCAATTACTAGTCATAAAGAGCCAAGTACTTTTACGAAAAAATATATTTAAATAAAAATAGGTAAAATAATTCATATTGCATTTATTTTCGATCTAAGGGAGATAAATCATTGTTTATACAAAAACAATGAAACGCTAATAACGACGATAACTGATTTCCAATTAAATTTATAATTACAGTGTAGCTATTTACAAAAAAATCGTCCCTAAAATCTCTTGAACAATATGCGATATTGTAATTTTGAATATTTGTTTAAATTGTTTAAGCGCTTGAAAATTAAGTGTGGAGCGCGGGGCGAAATATTTGCTGCGTTATTTTTAACTAGAATCTTAACGAAAATTAAATTAACGCTCAGATCATACAGGTAAATAAATAAGTATGCGAGAGTTCGTAACTGAAGGATTCTTTTTTGTGTAGCCTAGAAACAGAGCACTGACCTAAAATTGATACTTAAAATAACACGAAATATTTAAGCACGGGAAGAGGCGCTGTTTGCCCGCGTGTATATATGTGCGTGTGTGTGTTGAATGTCTTACTGGCATTATAATAATAATATACAAAGAACGTCTGTGAATCAGTTTAAAAAAAAATGTTCCCAGGTATTTAAATACGCACGAAAAGAACTTATATTGTTTCTGGTTGGTGCTTATCACTGCCAGCTTGCTTTTAAAAACGTAGGGACGTCACAAAAGGAAACGACGCCAATCGTGAGTGAACACGACAAATGCGGGTGTATGACTGACTGTTGAGAGAGTTTTCCAACAGTCCTTGAGACGAAAACTGATTGGTTTATGATATTGAATTCAGGAAGGGTTTTTTTTTGTTATTAAATCAAATTCTACAAGGTGTAGGGTACTTAAAATAGATAAAATAAAGTTGAATTAATTCTAGAAATAATTTAAAATCCATAGAAAAATAAAATAAGCAATTTTTTCTCTTAAAAAAAAAAAAAAAAAAAAAATTCTTGTGTATTTTTTATTTTACAAATCTCGTTCGACAATTCACAAAAACGCAAACGAAGACAGAATGAAAACATTCGAGTTTTATTCAAATAAATAAGATTTAATACCAGATAATTCTTTTTTTTTTTTTTTTTTAAAAAAAAGAAAAAAGTCTGATTATTTAAATTTTAAATAATCAGACTTTTTTCATTTTAGTTTAAGTTTCCAAACTGTAGATGTTTTTTTGTTTTTGTTGTTTTTTTTTTATCTCGTATTTCATGTAAAAAATATAATGTTTAATAATAGCCTCGATGAAAAATTGGATCAAGAGTGAATTAGCGGCTTTCTTATTTTCAAGCCTCTTCGGGGATTGCATAGCTTTAGATACTGAATGTCAGTAGCTTTTTTTTATGTTCATATCTGAACGGGACTTGTAAATACGGTTTTTAAACTAAGCACTGTTTATAAAAGTTGTTTTTAAAAAAAGAATAATTTTATTTCGTTTAGATTTACTTGATAAAATGATTTTTATTATTAAAAAAAAAAAAAATTACCAGAGTAAAAATATAATTCAATGAAGCAACTCCCTATATTGATCTCCACTTATAATTAAAATTATTTTTTTTTTTACTATTAGTTACCTAGACTCTTTCGCTAAAAAAACAGCTTTGATTTTGTTTTTGTTTTTAAAGGAGATTCTATATCAAGCATCTTCTGCTATATTTCCGATCAAGAAACTTCATAAGTGTACAATGCAGAAAGCAAACAAAAAAAGCGGTTAAAGTGTGGAAAAGACATCGGATAATAATTATGATGAACAGTGTATACACTAGTGTGGAAAATGAAGTCACGAATAGGTTTTATTATTATTATTGAACCAAAAATTACTATGCGTGAGAAAAAGTGATTTTAAATTATTTTTGTTTAATAGTTTTAGTGTTAATTTAATTAACACCATTTATTTTATATTTTTAACCGAAGTTGAAAAGGTGAAAATACAGTCAGTTACATTTTTGGTTTGTGCTGCATGTTTTCAAAGTCCATTATTCTCCTGGATCAGGTCGAGAGAGAAACAAGACGTGTAAAGAAGAAAAGCAAAAAAGATGCAGTATGTGTGTGTGTGTGTGTGTGTGTGTGTCTTTAATAAAAAGACTGCTTTAGATTACCTGATTTTCAAAAAAATAAAAATCCACCCTTTGTGAATCACTGGGATACGCGAGACCGAAAACGTAGGTGTTGTTTAAAATATATATTCCAGAAAATATTCGACCTGAAGCTAAGTAAATATTTATTCTTTATTGTTACCATAATAACCTAAAACGCTAACAGCAATACGGTCATTGAAGACAATAATACTAACGATCATAAACATTATATGAAATCAACGTTCCTCTGTTAGCAACAAGATACAAGAAAGAACACAATAGTAATGAAATAAGAGAGAGAGAGAGAGGCGGTCGATTGATATCAGCTCCAAATGAATGGAAAACAAGCCCAGACCTATGTATAATAAAACAGTAGTCAATAATATAGATTTAACATTTCGCCTCTCTGAATTATTGGGAGTAAGGAAAGAATGATGAATGGTAAAAATATTTGTGGTCCTTCCTGAGAAGACAGTCAAAAGAGACGAGATTAAAAACAATTACAATGAAGAGGGGGGAATCTAGGACAGATAGGAAATGTTGATGCTGATTGAGAAGAAAAAAAAGGTTTTTTGGGGAGAAACAATAGAAAAATTAGGGGTATATTTAAAGGGAAAAAATATTCAAATTACGTACAAATATCAAAGATTTCCACTGGTTCCCGTTTTAGTATAGAAATCCGTAAAATGTTGCCCGCTAAGGAAAAACGCGTCCATTCGTACGGGCATAAGCTTGGAGACTAGAAATTACAGCAGCAGGAGTGTAAAGAGTAGAAGTGAGAGTAGGCCATGTGCTTGAGAATACGCTGTGTGCGTGTGTGCGCCGATCATGGTAATAGAGAGAGAAGGAAAGAGATAAGAGGAAATGGAAGTTGGGGGAGCAGGTTACTTTTACTATACACTTAAAAAAAAAAAAGAGTCACGAAGGAGGGAAAGAAGGAAGGAAGCGGGGAGAAATCAGTAAAGGAAGATAGAAGCGGCAGTTACGCTTGTTGGGAATCGCGATACGAAGGAGAGTAAGGAGAGAAGCAGTGTTTGGTGAGAGGGAGAGTAAAGGATAGGTAACTGGGTTTGCTATGGAGAAATGGAATAAGGTTTACACACATACACACACTTACACAAAGCGATAAAGAAACACATATAGATAGATAGATAGATAGATAGATAGATAGAAGGCTGTAGTAGAAGACAGAGAGAAATGCGAGAAATTTTTGCAAACCTGAGAGAGAAAGATCCAAGAGAAAAGCTAGGGAAAAAAGCAATTGGTTCTAGCAAATAAATAAATATACCGAGACAAGGAAGAAAGAAAGAAAGAAATAAATATTTATTGTAGAGGATGAAGAAGTCCTTCTGGATGTTAAATCAAAGATCGCGCATTTGAAATTCAGAAGGATCGCAGTAAATGAGGGAGTAGTCATTATTTATATTGGGGAGCATGCATACATACAAAGTCCACCATCGCGGTGATGAGGAGAAGGTAAAATTGGTGGAGGGAACAGGTTATCTTACTATAAAAATGGGAGAACGACAAAGAGAAGGGGGAAAGGCGATGTGCCGCTTTAGGCAGTAGCTTTACAGTGGGATCGTAGCAGAGAGTTACTAAAAGAAAGAATTTAAGGATTTATACCAAAGAGTTGCGTCTGAAGCAAATGGTAATATTTCAGAGTGTTGTGAAAGGCATTTTTATTTTTTTATTTTTTTTTCAGGGGTGAAAGAGTAGAAGGCGAAAAACAGGTTTACAAAGCTGAGGAGAACTGTAACAACCTGGCCTACAATTGTAAATTATCTTGATTCTCCTTGGAGGAGGTTATAACTTTCTTTTCAAACACTACTTGAAAGTATTGTTTTCCGTATTTCTTTAATTTTTTTTTTTACCGATTTCTGTAAACGTTTGCCATCACTATTAAGTCAGTTATTTAACTATAGGAAGCTCAATTAGTTTATTATAGAAATTATTTCTTATTTCTTTTACCAGATTATTGTTTTGTCAATCGTTTTAGGAATTCACTGATAATTATTTAATTACAGAAATGCATCGTTAATTATTTTACTATAGAAATTTTATTTTAATAATTTTACAATAGAAATACATTGTTACTTATTTCACTATGGATATTGTCAATTAGTTTACTATAAAATGCGATGTTAATTATTTCACTATAGATCAGGGGTGACCAAACCGCGGCTCGCGAGCCACATGTGGCTCTTTGATCTTTAATACGCGGCTCGTGGAAATATGTTCCTTTTTTAATCACAATTAATATAAACATTTTATAAAAAAATTTTCATAAATAATTTCAAGCTTTACAATTATTTACTGGGTATAAATCGGATTAAAACGTAAGTTTAATGCTAATGTGTATGATGTAACAAAAAACGTATGTATAAATTTTGTTCTTGTTTTGCGGCTATCAAGCATCTGAAGTTTAAGCAAGTTTGGCCACCCCTGCTAGAGATATTCATTGATAATTATTTCATTATAGAAATGCATTGTCAATTATTTTACTATAGTAATTCGTTGTTAACTGTTTTACTACAGAAACAATTGTTGATTACGTTATATAAATGCAATGTCAATAATTTTACAATAAAAATCCATTGTCAGTTATTTCATCATCGAAATACATTATTATTTATTTTAAGATAGAAATATGCCGATTAATTTTCGACAGAATTTTTTTTTCAATTATTTTACTATTGAATGTAATTGGCAATTGTTTCTTTGTACAAACGTATT